GGCCTTCACCCTGGTGAGACCGCCGCAATTCCAAGCCAATAAAGTTAATGTCTTTTGATTGTTTCTAGCTCGGAGCAGAGATAAGTCATTGAAGTTAATGACCGTCTCCTCCGTTTCCTGTGAAAGCAAATTAAAAGATGAGTCACTGGTATTACACATTAATTCTTAGATTCTAACTTACTCACTTTTTCTGTGAGTATCCTAAGTTGTGAGTTTAATGATTCGATTGTTTGTAGTAACACCTTAATAAGAATCGCTGATTCATCCTGTGTTGTCGGATTGGAATTTGATGCTGCGGCTTGAGCAAAAGTTTTGTTCAATTTTTTAGGTGGAACAGAATTTCCAGTATTTTTATTTTTATTTTTACCCAAATTTGGGAAAGTATTAGGATCTGGGGGGCTATTTTTAGCATTTTTAGCTTTGAGTTGTTTTTTACGAGCGATTTGGAAATCTTTGGCAAATGGGCAGCCGCGATAACTTGCCGGATGTCCAACTGTGCCACAGTTTATACATTTTGGATTAGTAATCCTGCCTTTAAACACACAATCAGAAGATAGGTGTTTGCCTGCACATTTTACGCAGCGAGGCGTTTTTGCACAAAAATTTGCAGTATGTTGGAAGCCCTGGCAACGCTTGCACTGGGGCACTATCTTGTTATCCACTTTTATGGGCTCAATGCGAACGATGGTGTGAGCTATGGCTTTAATCTTAAAAATGTTTTCGGACGATTCCGTATGATCAAAGTCGAGTTGGTGGACTGGTATGTTCACCAATTCGTATTCTTTAATAGTTTTAGCAGGAGAAGTTTGATTTTCAGATACTTCTTCCGTTGGGGTATCTGATGGATTTGTATTTTTATCAGTTTTTTTCTGAATTTTTTCAACTCTTTTTTTAAGGCAAACAGCTGATTTTATTTTAAGGTTTTTCGATAGTAAATCCTCTATAATTTCTTCCTCTGGAATTGAGGGAGGAAGGCCTTTACACAAGACTTGAATATTCCTTGTGTTTTTGTTGGAATGTGTGTACCATTGGATACCTTTTTCATTCAATTTTTCAGATGTTTTTCTGAAAATATCGTCATTTAAAGTATTAACTTTCCAAGTTTCATTTCCTAGAAATTTTAGCACGAATTCTTCATTTTCAGAAGCTTCAGTGAGGATATTTTTAATAACTTGATATTCCTTAATACCTATTACTTTAATAGGGGGAGGGGGAAGAACCTTAGGGGACTTATCGCTAATCTTAGAACTATCAGACTTAAGGCTAGACTTATCCTTAGGAGCTGGATCATCGGAGACGTTCTTAGAGTCACCGCGTTTTCTTTTTTTCCGCTGCTGGCGGCGGAAAGCAAGGCGTTTTGTACGGAATTCCGGGTCCGAGTTTGAATCTTCTGAGAGAGAAGTGTCATCAGAATCATCTTCTAGGTTTGTGGTTATATCAATTTCTTCTTCATTTTGAAGAGCAGCAAATTTGTTTTCAGTAGGTACTGAATTAGATGTAACTACAGCATCATTTCTTGGAGTTGTGAATTGCGTTAGTTTTAACTGTCCAGACTGAGTTGTTTGGGTTTTACGAATAGGATTCGTTTTTGTAATATTTTTAACTGTAGCAGAAGAGGTAGCAACATTAACGTTTTTCACTTGTTTGAGTTCATTAATTTGAGATTGAAGGCTCGAAATTAGTGATTGGTTTTTAGTTTCATTTTCTTTTTGATTGTCTAGAAAAGATTTTAACTGAGCCGAAAGAGAACTGTTTTCATTGGCTAACACTTTGTTTTCTTTAGAAATCACTTTTAACACTGATTGCAACTTAGTCAGGTACGCTTTCAAAGATTCGTGATAGGATTTGCATTCAAGCACTGGTTTCAGATCCGTGTTTAAGAGTTCATCAACCATGTTGTTCTTAATAGAGTCATAAGATGAATTTGGATTGCCATTACCTGGTTGATTATCTCCTACCCCCGCCATCACGCAGGGGTAGTGAAGGAAAACACTGATTTAGCTTACAATTTATGATTTGAGGTTAGGTTTGAACACTTCGAAAAAATTTGAGCTGCCGAGGCAGCATAGAAAATTCGAACAAAATTATCAGATCTGATGAGGGGAGCACTATACTGAGAGAACGACCGTTCGGCTTAGCTTATCAGACAGCACTGCGAAAATTCCCTGACTTTCACCGGTTTTCGATCGAATTCCCTGACTTTTCCCGGTTTTCCAGACAGTGATCAAATTCCCTGATTTTTCCCGGTTTTCCAGACCTGCAGACACCCTGATTACAGATATTATGAGTCGTAACCAGGGATTTGAAGTTATTTTGAATTCTTTGACTTGAGTAAATCCTTTCAAATTCTTTTTTTTTCTTTTGTCAGATGCTGTCTTTTTGGTCAAACAATGGACCGTGAAAAATTGAAAAAACACGGAAAGAAGTTGAAACGACTTAGGGAAGAGGGACTCTTAAGGGACTCATTATTATTTACCATTTTCACCATTATTTCTCAAGGTGATCTCTCATTATATTCTTGCTCAAATGTTCCTCGTACAATAAATAGTCTTTTTGATACTTAAGATTTAGTTTAAATTATAGAAACTCATATCCAGTAACATTTTAATGGTAGCACGTCATTCTGGTGACGCTATGTCAGTTTGGTGATGCTATGTCAGTTTCGGTGACGCTCACTTTAAAAGCAATTTTTCGATAACATAAAGTTATAGGCCCATTCTTAAACTTTAAACCACTTTCCGTACACCGAGAAAAATAGTGTAAGTAATTCTTGCAATTTAGGAATCAATTTGGCTTTCTGACTCTTTAATTTTAGTTCTATCAAACGGCTTCTCAATTCTTTTGGTTTTTTAAGTAGCTTTAGCCAAATTCTTTCAATCAGTACGTTGGAATATCACAACTCAGCTGACTTAATGATTTAAACGCCAAAACAGTGAGCGTCACCAAACTGGCATTAATGGTAGTTTTCCTGACTTTGAAGTCTCAAATCCATACATAATCGTAAAGATATTGCGATGCACGACATTCAGTCCTACAGTAAGGAGCTGTGCGATAACAGAAAAGTAGTCTTTAGCTTGATATGGCCAAATAAGTTAACGACTTTTTTCTAGAACCGTTTTCTCCCATTAGCTGAAACCCACCCATATAATTTTTTTTTATATGACTGAAATTAAATCCGCTAAAGCAAGCTGAAAAAACCATTGAAGTTCAAATTTCGCGCTCCTTGAACTTTTTCCGTGAATAACTTTTGTCAGAGCGACGCTACAGAAAAAGAGTTCATTTTTGAACTTATGGAGCAGCAAATTTAGTGTCAGAAGGTACTTTCTATAATTTTGCTTTATTTTAAACGTCATTGAAGAGTTTTTGGAGTCGCATCATATAAAAAGATGAAGCGATCATCGACAGCGTCCCAGGGCCTCCTAATCATTACATATCACAAATCCTCCTTACTTGGAGGGTGATTCAAAAAACATCAACTTCCGAATTTCAAAATTATTTAGAGGGAAAAAAGTTCTGTCTTGACACCAAATTGATGTGAGCAGTAGCACTCTTCGGGGAAAAGAAAAATAGTAAAGACGGCGATCCTTGAAAATCTTAGCTTTTCTACGATTAATTAGGATCTATTGGATTCATTGACATCATAATTTAAATACGATCATTTATTATAATCTTTCCTTAAGCACAGTAAAAAGCTATCAAAAACCTACTCCAATGGGTAGAATCACTATTCGATATTTATATAGTCTTAAAATAAAACGGATTATGCCGAGGCAGTCTCTCCCACATTTCAAAGTTGGCGGTCGAAATCTCCCCGCTGGAAATGGTTCACCACTCGCCCACCGAGAGCGCCACCTCCTTAGTGCGTATGCCCGTAAGTCGAAAAGACAGCGATAGAGAGCGCCACCTCCTTAGCTGCTCGTATCCCCGTATTTTAAACAATAACAACAACAACAACAACAACAACAAGAACAAATTGGAACAAGTTGTCTGTGAAATGCATTGGTGAAATGTAAACAAATTCGCTTTTGTGTAATCATTAATCATTAAATCAATCATGTTCGTTCAGTATTATTAATAGCGGGAGCACTTCGATCACATGGAGAGCTCACTTTGACTGACTGTAGATTTTGAAAAATGCTTGAAATTCTAATGCTAAATTCTATTGCTGCTAATTCTTTGAAAGTTGGCACAAAAGCACCACCTGAGTCATTAATTTAGGTTCCTAAAGGATCTTTGGCCTAATCTCATAATTGCAGAGGGGCCGATGGCAAACGCTCGATTCTCCAATAAATGAGTTGGAACGCTCCTGGGTATTGGCAGCAAATGCTTAGAGTCAGGTGAAACGTAGGATTTTAAATGCATTGTATAATGCATCATATATTATCTCCAAAATTACTCCGTTGGTATACACCAAGAAAAATTTTCTCACCTATTAGCAGCTTTTGCGCACCCTCCATTCGCGAAAAAAAAAGTCCAAAAACGCTCCACCCTAACCCGCACCTTCTTCAATTTCATATTTTCTTCTTTTTCGGTCGTTTAAGCTGTACTCTATGGGGTTGCTGCGCAGTGTTGCAGAACCGATGGCCTCTGCATGTCATATTCGGCTCGTCGCGATATCAACAAGCAGCCTGGCTGCTGCAATGCACACTAGTCCACCTTACTTGCATACGCTGACGACAGTAGACGGCGCGGCGCATGATCTGAGAATAGCCTGTGCCATAGTTGAGTCCAAATGGATGTTGATATAAATTGGATAACTTGCTAATCACAGAAAACAGGGTGAAATGAACTACTTAAACCCCCAACATTCCCCCAATTTTCTCCTGGCCAGATCGGGGTTATCTATTGTCGTTACAGTCTGGGTTTCTGCGATATCGCTCTGGGCCCATTATCATAAGCTCTCCAAGAGGGGATATGGCCTTGCATAAATTGTTCCATAAGTTTTAAGCTGTTACTCACATGTAGTATCCGCAACCAAGTTTTAAAAAATATTGATGTACCTTCGGCATCTTGCACATGATGAGACTGAAGCATTGCATTTACAGCAAGACCCTCGATGTCCAGTTCTAAACTCATGAAAGTGTAACATCCCGAATTGTTAATCATCATGTTGCTGTTATCTTCGAATTCTGTTTGGTTTCTGAAAAATAAAGTGAGTGCATAATTATTGCTAGTCCAGGAGCAAGTGTGCGTTGTTTGAGTCCTTGAGTGAGATCAAGAGGTGCAAGTCTGAGGGGTGTCTTCAGCTCTTTGTCTTGCTGTCCAGAGATAAAAAATCTATGTTGTCACGGTCAATTTTTCTGCCAACATTTTCCATTCAAAATAGCAGCAAAAATGGCTGCTATGAGGGCAAAATGTTATGGAAGAACCCTTATATTGAACTGAGAATTCCATTCTAACGTCCTTTCAGTCGGAGAATGCAAATTCTGAATTGAAAATTCTATCCTACTTTCTGTGGAAACCCAAAATCTAGGATGGCATCTAAATTCAAGTCTTACACGTTGCACTATGGAACGAGTCAATGGGAGAGGTCGGACATAGCACGCTGTGCATCTAATGTACCGTAATTATCATGATTTCCTCTACCTAATGTTCTCCAAACTCACAAAACCTCTGTAATTTTCATCGTAGATTTCATTTTTGATAGTATTTTTACATTTTGACCTACAAAAAACCACATTTATACGTATTTTATGAGAACTACTACAGTCATTAAATATTAGCTAATCGTTCAACTTCATCAACGAATGTTTCTCAACACTTTCCGTGATTAAGATAATATACGGCTCTATTATTGATGAAAAGCAGCAATTTGTGAAGTTTCAATTCTTTTTACTGCTAGAATATGAAAACATTTAGGGAATGGGGGAGGGGGGGACGGAGGGGACCTTTTGTCGGGAATGTTTGGATAAGAATAAGTTAATTACCTTAATCGGTCTGTTAACGTTACTAATGTTGATTTTTCATTATTCCTTCCCTCAAATTGTTCGTCATTTTCAAAGTCAATCAGTGTCAGCATGCTGCCTGATCGTAATTAGAAATAACAGATTCGTATGAATCCCGCGCGAGCACTTAAGTCGCGGACGAGAGTCATGCGCGGCTGCAGTGTATATCCAATGAGGTGATTTCATAGCTATTGTAGCAGATGATGGCAGCTAAGTTTAGTATAAAGTCATTCTACAGGGTCCTGCAAATGTCCCTAAATGGTGAAAAGGTTGATGTTTTAATCTAAAATCGCCTTGAACTCTTCATGACATTTTTGGGATGGGTGCCTCTAAACAGGAATTATAAGTTAAAAAAAAGAAGAAGAAAAAAAAAGAATTATTTTCTCCTGGCTCTAAATAGAAATCAAATGTTAGAATCGATAATTGAGCACACTACGTCATCTGATCATAACGGCTAGCAGAAAGGACGACGCCGCGACGGATTCGAGAGGTAAGGGTAGTGCACAATTGCGGCATTTAACGATAGTGACGTCACAAGCAAAACGGCAGTTGGTTGCAACACTGGACAGGGTGAATTATTACTCTCAGGAGTCCTGCAAATGTTCCTGTACAAAAAATACCTTGAAAGATATTGGTAATACTAACTAAATACCTACTTTATTTATTATTTTCACTTTGGTATTTGTGAGATGAATTCCAATAAAGCGCATTATAAGGGGGGGAGGGGGTCTTAAAAATGTGGAAAATATTCTCCAAACTTATAAAATGGCAATCAACTGTTGAAATTGCAGATAAGGCCTCCGTAAGCAGTGACAACAAGCGACGTATTCGTGAGGGAAGGGCAGCGCGCAACTGCCAAATTCAAGAGAAAAAGTGTCGTCACAGCCACATTGGCACTTTTTGGCAGCTGATTTTTACGAATTATCATGCCCAAGGGTCCAACGAATGTCCTCATACAAAAGAAAGTTTGACACCAGTTGCACATTTTTTTTTAAATTTCTACATAAACTTTCTTTTAAGTATTTTTGAGATAGGTGCCTTTGAACGGGCATTACAGCCGTGAAAAATAAAAAAGAAAATACTTGTAATAGAGGAAAACGTTTTTCGAACTCTGCAGATTGACAATCAATCGTTGATTTTTACATTCGTTGAAGTTGTGATAGACTAGATGAGGTAGAAAGATTTATATGTAACTTAGTTGAAATTGGGAATTCACATAATACCCATGTTTGGGAGGTGTGACAGGTAAATGGAAATGATTTGGCCCAAACTAGTGTCATATCCTTTAATATAACCCTTAAGGATCACTTTTCAGCCGCCAAACATGGGGTTGGCCGAGATGGCCTACGTCCGATCTTTACCATTGACTCGTTCCATAGTGCGGTGGAACGGATATGTGTCTCTCGAAAACTAAATTAAAATATCTACATTTGTAACTTTGGAAATCCGAGTTCCACTTGGTGGCAATTAGCTCTGTCTGAGAAAAAAGTTAGCTATCTGAATTGAAGCCAATTTGAAACATTTTTAGGAGACATGTGACACTATTAAAAACTCAGAAAAATTTTACATTAGTTTAAATGGGAGAGTAACAGGCTGATCAGCGGACATACATTTTTTGGCTGTATAATGTGCCTACAATAAAGAAACTTGACCATCTAATCCTTGCTATAACTTTAAACTCAAGTATTCAGTCGAAAAGGCTTTCAAAAAGGTTGAGGGTGATCCTAATAACTTTGAAATGCACTATTTGATAGAACATCCCAAACCTGTCACATGTGTTCAGCTTTGCAAACGTATGACATTTCAGTTGGGCAATTTTCCTTTAATTATCTGTAGAACATAGCTGGATGTTGTCGTGTCATAAATTGTGATTTATCAAAGTCTGATAGATAAAAATTAGAACTAACAGTGAAAGTAAGATCTGGGTAAAAATATTTTTAAAAACTCACCACTTTCACTTTTTTAATTATAATTATATTTTATATTTGCATCTCCTTCATGGCATCCTATCTCTAAAGGCAACTTTGCTAAAATTGAAAGAATTCAAAGATGTTTTCTCGGATTCGCTTTTTATATGTATCAGACTAGAAAGCCTGTATCACTCTTTGATCATGACCCGTCCCCTCTCTACTCCTCTCTCAAAATGTCTGAGCTAGTTAATACATTTTGTTACAATGATTCCTTATTTCTATTTAAGTGCTTCCATAAACTCACCTAAACTTCTTAGCAACTTTAATTTAGCTGTTTCAGCCAAGTTATTGCAATCTAGGAACATTACATTTAATACTAATTCTAATCATAAACTCACCTGAACTTCTTAGCAAATTTAATTTAGCTGTTTCAGCCAAGTTATTGCGATCTAGGAACATTACATTTAATACTAATTCTAATAGTTCTGATAGGTCACTAGTCACCAGAATGAGTGAGGTTGTTAACTCTGTGCCAGTTCACCTCTTTGATTCTAGAATCTGTAATTTTACAGCTGCTTCAAGGAAGACATTCCTTTCTGGGTAATCAATTAATTGTTGCAGTTATGTCACTTTTTGTTTTCACACTACTTTTCACTTGTACATTATAATTTGTTACTTTATTATTGTGCTATTGTTTTTTTTAACCTTATTGCCGCCTTGTTGTGTCTTGGTTTTGTTATAATGTTTAGCAAATGGGTCTTTATGACTCGTTGGAACTGTTAATAAATAAATAGATAAATATTTCGTCGACGCGATTCGGGACCTTCATCTGGGTCCCCTCTTTAGGACATGATGAATGTGGTGGAACTGTTCCGCGGTCACTGGTGTGTATCGGTTTATCAGTCTTGGCATTTCCCACGTTGTCCTACTTATCATTGTTTTCCGTTGGATATCTGATGTTGTCTTTCTTAGCGTTGTTTTTTTTTTAATTAGTTTAGTGGGTAATCATTTGGTTAAAATTAAACTTTTAAAAAACTAGGTTCATTATCACATGTCAGAGAAACTTTAAAGAGAAGAGCCTTTTTGGATTTCAAAAATGAGAAGCGTCTTATCTAACATGTTCCATGAATGCACCACAATGTAATTGCCCTTACATTTATGAAAGGAATTTTAGCTGGATTTCACAAAACTGGTCTTTAGAAACCTACTGTAGTAAGTGATCTGGTCTCTTGAGCCATGGATCTACTTGGAAAAAAAAGTGATGATCTGAAAATCACATGTTAAACTTCTTGATGTTTTCAATTTAAAAAAAGATGATTATCAAAACATTAAAGAGAAGGTAGCAAACCTTCATGAATACCCCTTTCGCTAAAAACGGAATATCATTTTATTGAATTTGCACTGAGAAAAAATATTGATTTTACTGAGAGCAAATAATTTTTTTCCCCTAAAAGACAGGAGTGTTAATGAAAACTACTGTCCCCATGTTCTGCACTCCATGAATGCCTCACAAGGGTGAAACAAGGAGACGGGTTGGGAGGGGTAATTCCGGATGGAGGTAGTTCCGGACTAGCCCAGCAGAGGGCGTTGTAATTGCGTTATCGAAATTTCCCACCAGGTGGTGAATCTCTATGTTATGTTGACCATACTGAGTACAGCCATTGTTGTTTTATTTACGTTTTGTCGCCGTGAAAACTCCACGAATTTGGTAAGTGGAAAAAAAGTGTTTTACAATCTTGTAGACCTATTTTTAACCACTATTAATGACTGTGTAATAATTTTTTCAAATCAAACCAATATTACTTCTAAGTTTTCATGCATATGAACTACTAATTTCGTGGATTCTTTGAACCAGATTCGTGAGCAAGGTCAGTTTAGAAGTTAATCCGGAATTACCCACGCCCATAAGCTCACGGGGGTAGTTCCAGACGTGTAAATGTTAGGTTAGATTACTGACTAAATTTGTTTTTTTATTGCACTGTTTCGGTCCAATATGCCACGAAAGTATATTAAGAAACGTCCTCCCACTGAGGTACCCCACCTTACACTGAGGTAGACCTGCAGAATGCTTTGAAAGATGTTCAAAGTGGAAAGTTAAAACTCTTGGCTGCAGCTAGCAACTACTATATCCGATCATCCTCTCTTTCAGACCATTTAAGCGACAAAGTAAAGTTTCAAGATATGTACCAAGTCAAACCATCTGTGTAGTCATTTAGGTACTTGATAAGGCGTGTTCACAAGGCATTGGTTTAGTAGTGACAGCATGCTCATTGAACCAATGATGGGCCCTTATTCAGCGGCTTGCCCTGCTGCTTGACATACCTACTGCGCGACTACTGCTCTAAACTGACCCCGCTTACGAATCTGCTTCAAAGAATCCATGAAATTAGTAGTTCATATGCATGACAACTTAGAATTAATATTGGTTTGATTTGAAAAAAATTATTACACTGTCATAAATAGTGGTTAAAAATAGGTCTACAAGATTGTGAAACACTTGTTTTCCACTTACCGAATTCGCAGAGTTCTCACGGCGACAAAACATAAACAAAACAACAATGGCTGTACTCAGTATGGTCAACATATCATAGAGATTCACCACCTGGCGGGAAATTTCGATAAAGCGATTGCAACGCCCTCTGCTGGGCTAGTCCGGATTTACTCCCACCAATTGAGGGTAATTCTGGATTGAAAAAAGAGAGCTGCTATTATTACTTATCTTGTCTTGTATGGGCATGGTTGGCATCCTTGGAACGTCTAGTTTCCAAACAACTACAAACTTGCACAATTTGGTTCATTTTCTGTGGAGCTATTAAAGATTTTCATCAAACTAATCAAAAACGTCCGGTATTACCCCACCCGACCCTACTCCACGTTCAGCAGCGCTTGATGCTCGAGTCACCCCAGATCCTGACTAACCTCCCCTTCCTTCCCCCTTTTCAAAGGCTGGAAGTTTTCCCAAGCAAGGAGTCTTGCAGGCATGCCAGTTTAAAACCCCTGGTTGTCCTGAAATTCACCTTCAAAGGTGGCATCATGACAAAGTTTGTACCTAAAGGAGGTACGGGTGATGCTTGCGAGGTATAGGATAGAGTACACTAGGATACTAATTCATACCCAGTGTTTACTTGCTTAGTTGCCCTACTGTTGCAGGTGGGCAGGTATTCAAAGACCCAAACATCTACATTTTGCTAATTTTGGCCTTTGCATATCAATCCCTGATGGCTGAGCGGACATGGCATATGACTGATGATTAGTAGAACATCATAGTAGGTATTCAATATTTTATGATTGTTACATTGTCTTCTGTATGTTGCTTGCGAGCATGCCTCTTCCAGGTATGCAGTTTTTTATGACAGTACTGAGAAATCATTTGTAATCTACCTGTGGTCCTCTGCAAAAATTCCTGTTCCAAAATCTGGTGCTGTCAAATCACTGCCTGATATCCATAGTACAAAGTTATTTTCCATCAGCTGCCGCGCAAATAAGACGTCCGCTGAAAATAATCGAGACTTATCAACTGCAGGTGGTATGTTACAGATGGGTATTTTGGTATAGCTGCAGACAAAAAAAAAAAAAAAGAATAAGTATACACAATATGATCATTACTTGAAAAAAGTACAGGAAAAGGCAACATCTATGAATTCAGGAAATTCCTCAAAAAAAGTCAGAATCCAATAGTAAACTGAGTAAACATTAGGAAACAAAAGCTTAGGAAACAAACTGATGAGATCAATAATAATACATTTTCTCTAATTGCTATATCAACAAGAGTACGGGTGAATTATTTTGAAAAATTTTGAACTAAGAATTCTGTTCAATTTCTAAAAGAATTAAAAACCCAGAAAGAGAGCAGATTCTCCAGAGGTGAAAGATGAGAAAAAAGAATCAAAGGTAGAATTCATCGTTAGAACGCATTTTTGAATTTAATATCACTTCAGGGAAGTGTCAAGGAATTGAGGAAGAGATTGACTATCCCTGATGGTAGCTTTTGGTCATGAGGATAGTTCAGGATGCATGCACTGTGGTACTTTCTAATTCCTCAATATACTCGCAAATGAATTTCCCATGATTTTTCACCGAGGGGAAAAAATTATACTTAAAAGTAAGTTTATTTAATTGAACTCTTTGGGGATTACAGATTGTTGTCCACAGATTGTTTACCTTGCAGAAGGCAGCCAAAAAAGGGATGAGCGGCAGGGGAGATGCTAATCTTAAGATGTGCAGGTAGAAAAAACCTGTCGAACAGTATGCTATTATCTCAGAGGACGCATCGAATTTTGCAGGTGTTGTATAGCTACTGAAAGGGTAAAACTAACCAAACATAGATGTATCCTGCCCACAATAGCAGCATTTGAGAGCGTTTTTGTAGGCTACATGGCATTATCACCTCACTGCCAGCTGACAAAAAGGTACCTCTGGTAGGTGATTTTAATGTTAATTTGAATGTGGAAAGCAGCAATACCACAGAATGTTTTAATATTCTAAAAGCAAGGAATTTATTCCCCCCTGGGTTTGAATACACAAGGGTCACTGCATTTGGCACAACTCGTATTAACAATGTGTTCTGTATTTTCCTTGAATCCATTTTCAGCACAGGTGGTCGAAAATGCACTATCAGACCATAGAGCAATTGTCTATCAGCTGAAAATTGTTGACAAAATCTACGTAAGAAAGCAGCCAGCAGGAGGATAAATCAGAGATGCAGACGACTATAAACTAAGCCTGATGAAAGTGAGTTTACTTCAGCTTCAAACTAATATGGGCTGCTTAAATCATGCCCAGTTAGTGGATAAGATTGTGGGGACGAACAACTCTTTCCTTCTCCTTGCATACTGGAAAGTGATAAACTTGGAAACGATAAAATTTGTTTTTTAATAATCTGAACAATTTCTGGGAGTCATTTTTTGGATGATTGTAGCCAATATCATACGAAACAGGACATTCGTTCGATAAAATTTTCCGCCTGAACTCCACTAGGTCCATGTTTCTAAAACTTTATTTTTGTATTTGCTGCTTTTTTTGGCAACACAGCAGCATTCTCTACCCCTGGATTAAAACTAAAGGCAATTTTGCACGATAAATTACCGCGCCTGTTCAACGGCGAAACTTGTACTTGCACCGCTGTTCAAATAATACTTCAGGAGTGTCTGGCTACTATGTCTCTGCCAGTTGAAAGGGTCTAGGTACAGGTCTTCTTCAACTTCATTAATTGGAAATGGAATGACTGGAAAATCTGTCATATCAGGAATATGGATTTTTAGAGCAGCAATATCTGAAACAGAAAATATATTATTGCCTTTATAATTCTGAGAAGTTATACAGGGTGTTTCAGACCACCCGTACCAGGCCTTTGTCTCGGTTGGTTTAGGTCGTACGAAGTCGGAGATCGCGGGGTTGAATAGGGAATTGACCCCAAGGGATCCGAATTTTGTGGTCCCGAAACCCCAACACCCCCCCTTGGGAGATAAAGGGGGGGTCACGATGCTAAAAGTCACGGTTCCCGACCAAATTGCGGATCGATCGCGTCAGAATTGAAAAGCACGGAAAATTTCACGTGGAATTGACCCCTAAAAATCCAAAATCGGACCATCCAAGGCCCAAAAATGATCCCCTAAAGAGGGGGACAGTACCCCCCTCCATAATTTCTCTTTGGTCTCAAAATTGACGTAAATTCTCCAGAAAAAGACGGTTTCCCAGCTAATCGACCTCGAGAATTTTTCGTGGTCCCGAAGCTCCTCCAGCTCCCCTTGGGGGACAAACGGGGGGCCCAATTTTAAAAATCGGGGCTCCTTTCCGAATCACAAATTGATTGCATCCAAATTGAGGAGCAGAACACATTTACATCTTAAGTGACTCCTAAGAGTTCTAATTGACCCCCCTGAACGGCAGAAAGTAATGCCCTGAGGAAGGGGGCCTCGCCCCCGCCAAAAATTTCTCAGGATTCCTCTTTGGTCGCAAAATTGACTTCGATTCTCCAGAAAAAGACAGTTTCCCATGTTATCGACCCCGAGGACTCTAAATTTCATGTTCCCTGAGCTCCTCGGGGTCGATTACATGGGAGACCGTCTTTTTCTGGAGAATCGACGTCAATTTTGCGACCATTGAGGAATCTTGAGAAATTTTAGGCGAGGGCGAAGCCCCTCTACTCAGGGAGTTACTTTCTGCCGTTCAGGGGGTCTATTAGAACTCTTAGGAGTCACTTAAGATGTAAAGAGCCTCCCAAAAAATGGGCCTTTTTTGGCCCCTTTCATGAAACTCGGGGATTTCATTCAAATGTGGCCTAAACGAAACCTTATGATGACTTAAGACTCCAGTAAAAATTTTAGCTTGAGTATACGTCTGGTTTCGGAGATACAGCGTTGCAAAGTTTGCATATTTAAGCTTTAAAAACCTTCATATTTTCAAATATTATCTTCCTAAAACCAACATCAGAGTGAACTTTACTATACTGAACAAAGCGTAAATGAAGCATAATGATAAAGCAAGTCTCCAGTAAAAGTTTCAGCTTATTTATGACCCCTGTTTAGGTAGTGCAACGTTGCAATGTTTACGTTTCTGAGCTTTAAAAATACTCATATTTTTGAATTTCTTATTTAAAAACCAATTTTAGTGAATGTCCAATTGTGTTTTGTGGCACGAAATTAACCCCTAGTGGTACTCGTGGATGCATAGTGCATTGGTGTAAGGCTACAATAATTTCAAGTAACACAGCGTTGCAAAGTTTACATCTTATACCTCTAAACATGCTTTTTCTATTGTTTTTTTTATTAAAAAAAACTTCGATCAAACATGTCTCGGTATTATGTAGCAAAATGTTAGGATTCTAGTTAGAACTAGATGACAATTGGTATAAAAAACTACACTGTTGCCTATTTTTCTTGTTTTCCTTCAACATTTATACATAAAATAATCTTAAAATTAGGATACCTCCAAAAATAATAATCTGATTTCAAAATCAAATTCAAGAGACTTTGTCATGCTTAATGGAATGCTCAGCATCAGCGTTTCTTTCCAAAATCCAACAAATTTTGCCTCGCCATAGTTGCCAATTCGACCTTTTGTTAAGAAAAATTAAAAAATAAACATAGAATACGGAATATGTGGAGTTTTTTTAAGTATAAATTAATCTTGATCTAGAGAATACATTTATTACGCCTTGAAAACATAATCCGTTCATCCGTTGCATCCTTTCTTGTTCCTTTAGTGTTCATTTAATCATTTATTTTTATTTTTTTATTTTTTTTTCTTAATGTTAAAGTTTGAGATTAGCGACAGTGTCAAGAGTGTCAAGACATTGTCTATAGATTTGCAGGCAGAACTTGTGCCGATTTGTGATAAATTTATGCAAAAAAAATAAAAATAAAAAATGAAAAAAAAACATGAAAAAAAATAATAAAAAAAATTACAGTTGTCATTAAAAAAATGTAAAAACATTAAAAATGTAAAAAAATAAAATAAAAATTAAAAAAGTAAAGCAAAGTCATAAAATACAAAAATCAATTATAAATTCTTAGAGGATTCCTTATTTTAATTTCTCATTTATTTATCGTTTTAAAAGAAGTATTAATAAACTTGATCATAGTATTTTTGCCAATACCAATTGTCACTTGGAACTGACATCAACCCTCGATATTTTGCCTTGATATCAGGTATTACATTCATAGACGTCATCTTTAACTAGCATAAAAAATAATTTCAAGAGTTTAACGTTATTAGATTGGCAACGCTGTACCACCACCAATCAAAGTATCCCTGTTTGTTTGAACATACATCTACAAATGACACGTGGGTAGATTTTACTCCTGAAATTCGGAAACAAGATACACGAAAATCTCTCTTTAAACGCGGAACTTCAAAAAATAAACATTTTTAAAGCTGAAATATATAAACTTTGCAACACTGTATCATTGAATCTGTGCTTACGCTCGCAGTAAGGCCTATATGGAAGACGTATCTTATTATAAAATTACACCTAAACCCCATAAACATATATTTTGGTGATCAGTAAGTTCGTCTTTTAATAAAAAACTAACCAAAATGAGCAATTTTTATAGGTCTTTGGTGTCAACTTTGCAACGTTGTATCAAGAGAATTAGCAGTATTATTGTATCAATGGGTATATGCATTCAATAATAAGACTGACTGTTGGTAAAATGTCACAAAATATCATAAAATGTCCGATGGAGGTGTTTTCGAAAATAAGACACTTGAAAATATGCGAATTTTTAAAGCTTAAATATGCAAACTTTGCAATGCTGTATCTCGGAAACTAGACGTATACTCAAGCTAAAATTTTTACTGGAGGCTTGTCTCACCATAAGGTTTCATTTAAGCCACATACGAATGAAATCCCCGAGTTTCAAAAAAGGGGCCACTTTTTGGGAGGCTCTTTGTTCTGTTCCTCAATTTGGATGCAATCAATTTGCGATTCGGAAAGGAGCCCCGATTTTTAAAATTGGCCCCCCCCCCCCGTTTACTCCCCAAGGGGGGCTAGAGGAGCTTCGGGACCATGAAATTTGGATTTTTCGAGGTCGATTACCTGGGAAACCGTCTTTTTCTGGAGAATTTACGTCAATTTTGGGACCAAAGAGAAATTATGGAGGGAGGTACTGTCCCTCTCTTTAGGGGATCATTTTTGGGCCTTGGATGGTCCGATTTTGGATTTTTAGGGGTCAATTCCACGTGAAATTTTCCGTGCTTTTCAATTCTGACGCGATCGATCCGCAATTTGGTCGGGAACCGTGACTTTTAGCATCGTGACCCCCCCTTTACCCCCCAAGGGGAGGTGTTGGGGTTTCGGGACTACAAAATACGGATTCCTTGGGGTCAATTCCCTATTCAACCCCGCGGTCTCCGACTTCCTACGACCTAAACCAACCGAGAAAAAAGCCTGGTGCGGGTGGTTTGAAACACCCTGTACGTTCTTTAATAAAGTCCTTTATGCTCAGTTTGAGGCTGAGAGGTTTCTTCATTTCTCTTTGATTATTGAGGGAACAGAAACATTGAGTCAGATGCTGTTGGGTTTAAAAGTTATTCATTCTACAAAAAAATTACATACTATTACATGGTTCAAGACAGATATGAAAAATGAAAATCGAGGACATTCAAGGACACTTCCAGTAATTCCAAAGCATAAATTCAAGTACTTTCAAGGATTCTCAACAGATTTTTAAAGACTTTACCTGCATAAGACATAGATATTTCCCTCAGGTACACCTTCATTTTCCACTAATTTGAACAATGCTTTAAAAGCACCATAAAGGACACAACATTGACATGATTGCATGAAGAAGTAAAATTAAATCATCTTGACAAATCGAGGAGAGAAAAAAGGATTTTGTCTTACCTGAATACACAAATTGTGAGGACAAGATGTAGATCTAGTTTGCAAGACTTACAATTAGTTAAAACCAGCATCAGATAAAAGATGTAGGATTTTAAATTATTGAAGACAGGTTTCCCCAAAATCTCTAATGTTTCAAAGAAATTCCAAAGGAAGGAAATAGTCGAATCTAGACGCATGAAAAAAAGATTTCTCAAATCCAACATCAATGAGGTGTACATAAGGATATTTCTGATGAAAAGATTTGACAAATGAAGGTCAGTTGTGAAACTGTTGATACTTGAAGAGACGATCTCTCTTCAAAACTTTGATTTATTCAGAGAAGCAAAAAATTTAAAAAGCAAAAGAAAGGAACTGCCCGGAGAGGCAGCTTCGAAAAATCAAAATTCAAGGACTTTTCAAATACATTTGGGCAACTTCCTGAAGATTAAGGATAGTAAGGGACCTTGAAAAATAAAGATGAAATTTAAGTACTTCCAGGGACTTTTCCAGATTCCACAGATCCTATATTATTACGATAAAAGGATACCTGTTCAGGATACAAAATACTATCTAGCAAAATTAACCTTAGCAATCAGTAAATTCGAAAATAAGATAGTTTATAAGAAATTATTTCCCTTGATTAGGTGAGTTTGATGGCTGAAAGAAAGAAAAAAAACTTTCAACTACTATGAACTTTTGACCTGAAGCTATCCTAGCTCCATCTAGCATACCTTGATAGGAAGAGTATGGGACATGTGAAAACACGCAGCTCTTGGAGCTCAAGAGGGCAGCCAATCTTCCCACGAAAAAAACACAAGAAAAATGTAGCTGCCAACTTTCACATTCAAATGTTAAACCAAGATGACCAACAATGTTGGTAAAAGAGCACCTTTCCGCAAAACAGAAGCAATGCTCGCAAAAAACAAAGCCTCGCATGTGCATTTATAATTTTTGAAATGACAGGTAATAATAAAAATCATTCCAACTGAAGACTTGCTCCAGGCACCTTGAAAACAAACCGACTGGTGCTTTTGGGAGGTGGTTGATGCATGTTCTGGGTGTTCAATATTTGAAAACAAAAATTGCGGCAATTTTCACACGACTTTACTTAATGCATGTGCATTTATAATGTTTGAAATGACAGGTAATAATAAAAATCGTTCCAACTGAAGACTTGCTCAAGGCACCTTGAAAACAAACCAACCAATGCTTTTGTGAGGTGGTTGATGCATGTTCTGGGTGCCCAATATTTTAAAACAAAAATTGCGGCAATTTTCACACAACTTTACTTAAGTAACACTAATGTGTATCGAACGCAGCTGTGCAGTATTAACACAGGCAGTTTATACTGGAACTAGAACTAGTTTTAATGGAGTTTACCCAGTGTTTTTAATGGCAGAAAGTCAAAATTAATGACATAAATGCAGCACCCTCAACAAGCACCAACCGCTTCAGAGACACACTGATCACTTTGTTTTTGGAAAGCTCATTGTTGAGCAGGGCTTCAGGTATAAACCCGCAGTATAATAAGTAATTTAGGATAATTTGAGTTCAAAAGTTGGCTGTCTTTTTGGGTCCTATGAGTTCCATAGACTCATCAAGCCTAACCTCCAAAATTACGGATAGGTCCATACTCTCTCTATCCAGGTATTCTACCTGTCACTATCAGATTTTAATATTGTTCACCTCTAGTTTAGAAATTTCAGTTCAATTTTTCATCATGGTTTTCATCATTAGGATTACTGACCCGTGTCATTTTGTCCTTGTCTGTTCAATTAACAAGTGATAACGAGTAATAAAGGTAAACAGTAAAAAAAACGGAGGGCTCCGCATTAGTCTCTTACCTAGGAATCAAAATCTATTTCAATTAAATAATGGAACAACTGACGTACCAACTAGTGACTGAACAACCAATACAGTAGGTCCTTTCACTTCATCTTTATATGCTCTTAAAGCACGACCAATTGCACGGTATGCACGTAGAGGTTGCGTCTCAATGTGAACTTCAAATGAAACATCCTTTGCGGGTAACAATTCTTCGGGACTTCCTTTTGATACTCTGATAAAAGCAGATAAAGAGCAACAAATAAAAAAATCAATGGTTTCAAACATATCTAAAAATATTAAGTAAATCAACACTGATGAAAGATGAAAAACTTTGTAGAAGAGGCTATATAGCCTGAACAAAATCGAACCAAAAGGTTTCCAAAGTAAAAAAGTAATTACTTTTGCAAATAAAATTGATGAGCCAATGGAAAAGTTCTATCACTATGATGGTATTTACCCACACCAACTATGAAAAAATGTTGCTACTAAGAGGATTGCCATTAAGTTAAAAGATTGTAAAACAAGACTTGTAAAACTCATTTAAACAGATTAACAATGACAATAAAAATTATTCCTTGCCCAATTTCTTGTCATCTCATCCACCATTCATAAGCTCTACGAACTTTCATCACCTGAGGCTTGTTCAGTAAAATTCATGAAGTAACTGTTTACTGTTCGTCAATGGATGATTTTCTTTGAAAATAATCTAAGGTATGGAAACGAAAAAACTTGCAGCCTGCAGTCGGTGAGGGAGCGCAGGCGATCTTAGGGCTTAAAACATACTAGGTTCCTACACAGTTTTCCATCCTTGACTGTTTCGAGTTTTCTTTCTATATCACTCTCTTTACCTCTCTTGTTGTAGATCTGTGCCTTTTCACTGTGTCTTTCGTTGCTGAATAAACCGTTATTTCTTTGCCGTCACTAGCTGGTTTCATATCTTTTTGTTACGCCTCCTCACAGACTAACCCTCTGTAGGTGAGGTACCTCGCGGTACCTCATATTGGCCTGGTCAGTCGTCTTCCTGTTTCAATAGTTAGACCTTTTCTGCACATACTTCATTTTCCAAAGGGATCATGTAAAAATTTTGACCAATGTTTGATTGTTTTTACTTAAAAAATAACAATTCATGGGAATTGGAAGTACTGTAACTGAGATATATGGATTAAAAGTTAAGCTATGTTGATGTAGTTTTTACCTAGCTCTTCTTTCTGCAGAGTACAAATTAGTGAGATTCGGCATGCGGTTGTTTTGTGATCCATCCAGAACATATATTTCAGCTTTTTTTTTTGGTGATAAAAAGAGGCCAATCATTGCTTTTGATCCGGTTGGGGCTTTATGATAGTAGAGATAAATCTGGTTCAAACGAGAGTAGTAATTCTGAAATAAAAAATAAAATTTGAATTTAAGGAGGTTATGAGGACCAAATTTTCGAAATAAAAAGATTCACCTAGCACTTATTCACCTAGAAGCTTGCACTAAAGAAACAAATTAATGATAATTGAGAAATTTGAAAGCAAAAGAACAGGGTTGCCACAAACTTTAAAAAATGAAATTCCCTGACATTTCCCTAACAAATTTGAATAAAATTCCCTGACAATTGGAGATATGCTTTTTGGCCAAAAATACATAATTTGAAATAGTTTTCAGGCAAAAGGACCCCGCACATCTCTTATGGGAAGCTGCACCATGACCGAATGCAAATTTATTTATGTCATTCGATTCTCCTCAAGATGATGATCAAAAGTTATAATTGCGCCAATTTTCTACGATGCACCGATTTTGCAAAAAAACCGCTGAGAAGATTCAATTATTCGGCGACAATGAATAAAAACGAACAAAGCATTTGAGAACAGGCCCGATGTAAATAAGGAAAAAACGTAGCGCGTATCTATCTTCTTATCTGTACCTGCCGACTCTGGGGCTATCTCCCTCCCGCTCTTGTCCGGTTGACGTTCCGACTTTCCTGTTCTAATGCTCCTCAAGAATCTGATTTGGATGGTCGAGCAAAACGGCGTGCGAAATCCGAGATAAGACTGCCGCTCGGTGCGGGAGTTCCCATGATTTCCTTGTTGACACACAGCCGCTTGCCAATCGAGTACTGAAATGAGGAATCTTTCTGGCTTTTTATCGCCGAATAATAGAATCTTCTCGGCGGTTTTTCTGCGAAAATGGTGCGTCGTAGAAAGTTGGCGCAATTATAACTTTTGATCAGCATCTTCAGAAGAATCGAATGACATAAATATATTAGCATTCGGTCATGGTGCAGCATCCCATAAGAGGTGTGCGGGGTCCTTTGTTGTTCTAAACTTCAAGGCCATTCTACAGGGCTAGGAAGATGAATTAACAATTTTTCCTGACATTTCCAGGTTTTCCCTGAATTTTTAAAATTCCCTGACATTTCCCGGTATTCCAAGTATTCCCTGACTGTGGCAACCTTGAATAAGTTTGTGAAAATAAATCTTTACAGCACCCTGGATACCAGCTCAACACCTATAGGGACTCATGAGGCGTAGTAGACTAAATCTGAACAAGCCAACAGGAGAAAGCAGCAGGTCAAATAATAATATCAGTGTTCCTTGAAATAATCTGAATCAGGCAAAAAAAAAAGAAACCATTAATCCAACCCACTTGATTTACATGTAATTACATTGGTCACAGAAGCGTGTTTTTATGCTCGATTATTGTAGATTAGCTAAAAACAGGAGCTTCCTATGTTCAATATTAACTGAGATATCGCGTTTGGAAAAGTCGGGTTTTCGATGTTACCTACTACGGTAGTGACACCCTTGGTTTCTTCCTCTTTTGTTCAATCAGGGATGGAGAGGGTGCAATGCGAAACTGTAACGACGTTAAACATGAACTAACTCAAGAAACATACAGATTCAAACTTCGAAGATCTTCTTATCAGGAGATAAAGCACTCGCCGCGAAGAGGATGGTCAGTCAGTTCACCTCAGTTTGTTTATATTGAAGTTTTGTGATGCGCCATGTTGCATCCTCAGCATCACTGATCGAACAAAAGAAAAAGAAACCAAGAGTGTCATCACTGCAGTAGATGACATCAAAAACCTGACTTTTCAAAGTGCGATATCTCTGTTAATATTGAATATACAGAGTTGCGGTTAGATCAGATCTTATTATTTATAGTTAATCTACAAGGATTAAGCAACAAAACACCACTCTGTAACCAGCGCAACTAATCCATTAGTCAAAGAGAAGATTTTGAAACTGCAAAACTAGAAATGAAAAAGTAAACTTCATTTGCAGACAGTCGAATTAGTCTTGAGAAAGGGGGTTGGGACATTGGAAAGGGAAGCAGAGGTGGTCAAGTGCTTTTCCACTCAAAAGCATTTTAATGGGAACCCAGAATAGCAGGGAACACCCTTCCTGGTAGATGGGAAGCACAGGGGTCAAATGATAGATCTCAAAGCGGTGATGAAGTGGCTCATATTTCTTAGGATAAGAAAAGAAGACATATCAATGTTAATTTAACAGGTGTATCTTCTCATAACAGGATGCCCAAATAAAAGGAGGGACCACTTCTATGAGATCCAAAATCAGTTATGAGAAGAAACGCACCTTATATAAGAAGATCTTCGGAAGACTTCGTAAAAGAACTGTAAAATGCCTTTTCTTTTTCATTGATGGTCCAACAAGAGAAATGCGATTACTTCTGCTGCAAGAGACTAGTTTAAAACAGTTAATCCACTTTATCGTGAGAACCCAGTTAAGCAATGGACTTGAGAAACACAAAATGTTGGTAGATTTACACTTGACAAAATTCTGACTAAAGAAACACATAAATAACGAGGAGGGAGCCGCTGAATCATGATTTCATACCAACAGCTCCCTTAAACTGCGAGTGAAAAAGTACCTGGACTATGATACCTTTGGTCCTAGTTGATTGAACTCTATTGAGCCGCCTAAAAAATCTGCTTCTGAACAGGGGATTAAAAAAGTGTGTTATTGAATTAATTTTCACCTTTCTCTAGAAATCACTAATAACGACTCTGTAAACAGATGAACAGCCGTAGAGAGAGGCAGACTGATGGTTTTGGACTTGATTTTGACTGTGACAACTCAGGTGCAATTGGGTGAGTTGAGGCGTTTAAAAAGTCGGCCCTCCTACATACATGCTCTAAAATCGATTTCTGGCAAAATTTTTGTTGTTCTGGGCGTTAAAAAGGTCGAAAATTTGGTTTGAAATTTGATAGTCCTTTCTTACATAGAAACGCCATGAGTGCAACAAGGACAGCCAATTGTTGGGAACCCAAGACTGTAGTCCAAAGAATCAATGCTGAGCATGGCATCAGACGTCCATCAGTAAAAATAATAATGGATAAAGCAAAATGGAGAACTATGTATAAATGCTTACAGAGGGCAAATAATTGACTGTGGGACAAGCAACTAAATGTTCCAGTGAAAATGTTGACAAATTCGACTTGCCAGCAACAACGAGGTGTTTAGCAAAATTTCGATCGACGCTGCAAACACTGCCCAGCTCAATAATAACCCGCAAAATTGGAGTGATTTGAGTCTCGTATATTCCTTCAATGTTCACATTACATAAATCTTTCATTAGTTGTCTGAAAAATGAAAATATTAGTTAGTAAGCTACAAAAATTTTGAAAACGTTTTTGTTGTTAATGATGTTTCTTTTCCTTTTTTCCCCCTTTGTTCATCTATCTGCCACTTTAAATGAATTTTGAGAAATAAAAGGAATAGAAGCGAAAAAATTATTTACAAAGAATGTAGATTTGTTTTTGCAAGATGAAGGTTATTCTCATTCACTCTCGTTGGAAACTTCATCATTCAGGAGGTAAGTGATAGACCAACTAAAGGAATAGAAGCGAAAAAATTATTTACAAAGAATGTAGATTTGTTTTTGCAAGATGAAGGTTATTCTCATTCACTCTCGTTGGAAACTTCATCATTCAGGAGGTAAGTGATAGACCAACTAACAGCGGCCTACAAGAATCTCTAAACACAATGCCCCTTAGGTAACTTATCATAAACTTGAAATGTATATCAATAATTCAAGTTTTAGGTTGGAAGAGGGGACCTCCTAATGGGTTTTAGGGAAAATTCGAAATGGGTCATCGCAGCTCCGGGCATGAACGTTCGACTTTCCTAGGAGAAAGGACCTTGGTCCATGGAGTCATATTTTTCAGAGAAGCAATTATACCCAAGTTGAGGTGAAAAATTAGATTTTGAATCTTCATTAGAAAACTAGCTCTGCCAAGTCTTGTTTTGTTTAAATTTTCTAATTTGACTGGGGGAATATTGCAGACATACTATACACAGCGCCTAAAGTAACTTATCGTAAACTTCAAATGCACATCAAAAATTCAAGTTGGAGATTGGAGTAAGGGACTTCCTGATGGGTTTTTCGGCAATTTCGAAAAAGGTTACCACAGTTCCTGGAAAAATAAATCCCATTTCTGTGATTTTCTAGGGGCAAAATAGCAAAATTAGCTAAAGGGCGACATTTAAAATCCATCTTCGCTCATCCTTGCCTTGCCTGATCTGAATTTTTTGTGTGTTGTTACCTGCTGTAAGATGCAACTTTCCTAAAAATTTCATGCAAGGAAAGATATTTTGCCCCCCTGGCGGCGTTTCCAAGGTGCGAACTCCAAAATATAAAAATTGGATGATAAAATGAAGGTTTTGAGGTAGGACTTTCATTCAAAAACAAAAATTCAAATTGTAGGTTGTAGTAAGGTACTCTCTGATGAATTTTTGGCCAATTTAGAAGTAGATTGTGGGAGCTTTTCAAAACATAATCGCATTTTTGTGGTTTGTGAGAGGTTAAATAGCAAACTGGGCTTAGGGCCGACAAATTAACCCCATATATTTATTTATTTGTAATTAACCCATTCCCTTATTGATTAATTTTGCATGCCCGCGCACAGATTTACTATTTAATTTCACTGTAAAAAGCTGTATTTGGTTTCATCTTAGTTTTCTGCTTTTCCTGATAATTAGGAGCAAGTTTTTGGTCTAATTCTTATTGGTTATAATAAGTATGATGTTTATATAAATAAATTTGCCTGGATATTGCACTTTTACAACCAAACCGCTTAAATATGGAATAAAAATAAAATGAAGTCAAGAAAATTGCGTGCAAAATTAGGTTTAGTTTTGAGGTTATTCCTCACTTTCACTTTTTGAAACCTTCAAAATTCCCGGTATTCAGGGAAATTACCGTACAAAACCAGTACAGGTTGGTCACACTACTTCTAGTGACAACATCTGTCAACTTTCGAGGCGCTATCTATCGTGAAAACATCAAAACACGGCAATACGCGTAGCCAAGTTGCATGACGAGTGGGACTCATCATTTCTTGTTTGGCCCGGCGCGGCCATGACGAGTCTGACTCGTCATATAAAGGGAATGGGTTAATGCGAAGTAGATTACAACACATTTTCAGACCTTACGGGTCTTTAAAAATTTGAACTTATCATGTAACAGACAGCATTACAATAATAAACCTAAGCAGATAAAAAAATGTACAAAAATTGGTGGGAAAATTGATGAGGGAAAGTAAAGTGAAGGTTTAGGACCATTATCAATTGATAATAATAGCGAATAAATAAATAAGAATAAAAATGAAAATGAAAAACAAAAACATAAATAAAATACAGAACGGACAAGAAAAAGAGTGCAAAAGTGGCAAAAGCTAGCTAGTGATAACGATTTAAGACTCCTACTGCTAATAGGGACTTTGTTCTTAAGATGCGGGCCAATATTGCCGCCGACAAAGGCGGGTATCGGCAATACACAAAAGAGGGAAGTTAAATTTTAAGAAAGTCTCGGGTAACTAAGTCTTCCGGGTTTCCTTCTCATTAGACGGCGCACATCCCCCGCTAAATCTAGGAGTACAAGAACTTCCGGATTGGGATGATAGGCGCTCTTCGTACCTCTTATACAGTCTACTAGTGTGGACTTCGATTGTCTCGATTCCTAGGTCTGAACGGATAGCTTCGTTACTGAGATACCACGGAGCATTTAAAATTTTCCTTAGTGTTAAGTTTTGAGTAATTTGTTTTATATTTGACTTTGCTGCGCAGGCACAGATTTGACACGCATAAGACCATATTGGTCTTATCATTGTTTTGTAGAGGAGAATTTGGTTTTGCAGTTTTAATTTGGAGCGACGTCTGAAAAGCCACAATATTTTGCGTACCTCGATTCCAATTTGCTTTCTTTTATTGAGGATATGTTGTTTGTATCTTAATTTAGAGTCAAGCGTAAGTCAAAGATATTTTGTCATTTGGGCAAAAGGGGATAAGTGAGTTGTTTAAAATAAAAGGTTCATACACATATTTTCTACTGGTGAAGACTACGTTCTCCGACGTATAATCCACAAGCTCCCACAGATCCCACGTCAAGATATTTTGGACCACAAGCTCCCACAATCTACATCGAAATCGGCCAAAAATCCGTCAGGGAGTACCCTACTACAACCTACAATTGGAATTTTTGATTTTGAATGTAAGTCCTACCTCAAAACCTTCATCTTATCATCGAATTTTATATTTTGGAGTTCGCACCACAGCAACGCTGCCAGGGGGGCAAAATATTTTTTCCATGCATGAAAATTTCAGGAAAGTTGCATCCCACAGCAGGTAATAACACACTAAAAATTCGGATCAGTCAAGGCAAGGGTGAGGGAAGATGGATTTAAAGTGTCGCCCTTTAGCTAATTTTGCTATTTTGCCCCTAAAAAATCACAAAAATAGGATTATTTTTCCAGGAGCTGCGATGACCTTTTTCAAAATTGCCCAAAAACGTATCAGGAAATCCTTTACTTCAACCTCCAACTTGATTTTTTGATGTGCGTTCGAAGTATATGATACGTTATTCCAAAAAGTTAAACTTTCAGGCTCATAAAATTGAAGGTTTAAAAAAATGGAACTGATACCGTGAATGTTTCTGAAATTTAGATTCGTCCACTCTGTACTGGTACAAATTGAAGACAGGTTGTGCTCTGGGAAGGATTCTATGACATTTCCTGAAGGAGCAATTTGGAGTTTCATCTCTCGGAGTGCGCTGGTTGACATAAAATATTCGAGGGACTATCAGCTTTGTCTGATGCATTTCACCATTTACGACCATGTGGACTTTCAAAACGCCTGGCTCATTAGTTTCTTGCAACTGAAACCATTACATTTAGGCTAGACATTATTGATAAACAGGTAAAGAAGGAAGGAGGGGGGGTAGGGAGTAAGTAAAAAAAATTATATACATTGTCTTATGTGTAACATTTGTTTATTGGGGTTTTTAGTGCACCCAGTAAAAATTATCCAAGATGTCCCTACACGCTGGACCACCAAATCGGGTATATCGATGTTTTTTCTTAAATAATTAAGAAAAAGAATTGGTCTTAGCACAAAACGAGTGATTAATGGAATTAAAGGTTGAATAATTTCCAAAAGAACACTATTCATAAAATTTTTGGCAAAGGCACTCTGAATTTATTAAATGGGTGCTAGAAAAACGGACATTTTATGAAGGACCTTGCACACAAACGCATGGAATTCCGTCCCCACATTGATTTTCAATTGTTTTATTCCTCTGTACTTGTCTAATGATGCTGATGAAAAGTCATACAGGCATCATTGCTCTACAAGCCACAATTTCCCCACAATCCGCGATTGAAGTTCGGATAATTTGCCTAGTAAAGCCGGCAAGTGGGGCGGTGTATATCTAAAAGTGGTCAGTTGCGTCTGCCGCTGAGGGTCAGTCTTATCTCAGATTCCGCACATCTTCTCATTTCAACGTCCAAATCAGTATCTCTCTCTCTCTCTCTCCCCCTCTCTCCCTCTCTCTCTCCCCCTTTCTCCCTCTCTCTCCCCCTCTCTCTCGCTTGCTTCCTCACCTCTCATTGTAATCCATACATTGTTTATTATTAACTGATAAAAATGTTGGAATGTAAGAGATTCTTTGCCTTCAAAGACAATGACACCAAGCGCAATAAGCCCCAAAGCCCTTGCCCCTTTGGACAATAAGGGGGCGGTTATACTAAGACAGAGGGTAGACCTCACCAGTATATTTTTATACACAGTTAGAGATTGGTCATGCGATGCTGTAGCTCAGTGGGGAACTGCTTGATCATGCGTTTGTTGGTTTGTCTGCATCCATTTGCACAGTTGTACTGAACTAGTTTAAATTTTTTGACGAGTCACAAGCAAAAACTCTTCAGGTTCTTGAAGTAGAGTGTCTACTGAGTCATTTAAGCCAAAAAGAAAAAAATTCTGTCGAGCTCCTGGAAAATAAAGTCGATTTAAAGGTATTTTCGGGCTAAAATAGCCCGAAAATACCTATTTAATTACCCATATTAAATTACCCATATATAATGCCCGTCACATCATTCAAAAAAATTTTTCTTCCTGGATATAATGCCCAAGTTTCTTAAATATGCATATTTTAAGCCTCCGAATACTTAAACTACCAATTCTAACCATATGGTGAATTTTGGAGGCCTAAAATGAGCCCTCTGAGCCAAAAATTGCATACATTTTCGAAAACTTCGGATTTTCATGGGGATTTTTTTTTAAATGGTTGTTTTTTCTACAGTCGTCAATGAGTAATTCTGAAGGGCATTTCCGATTACATAATTGACATTTTGACTGTTCAGGTAAAGGGGAGGAGGGCATCAGGCTTTGCTTTGCCTTTCTTAGAGTTTCTAGAAAGGCTTGAAAATTCCCTATTACATTGGAAGTCCAAAATATCCCTTTTTAATTCATTAATTGCTGCTTCTGATATTATGAAATATGCAGCAGGAGTTACTGCCCACCCCCCTCCTCCTCCCTACGAGATGCATGTAAACCTTGATCTTACTGCGTGCGCTACCGGATCCTTGCTTTTCGCGAGTTCCGTCCGTTGTATAGTAGACCCAGGCATTTGCAACATAAACATGTCCATTTATATGTAATGCTAAAGACCGCCACATGTTTTATTGCAAATGCCCGGGTCTACTATACAACAGACTGCCATCTCTTAATGTAATAGGGGATTTTCAAGTGTTTCTAGAAACTCTGAGAAAGGCAAAGCAAAGCCTGATGCCCTCCTTCCCTTTACCTGAACAGTCAAAATGTCAATTATGTAATCGGAAATGCCTTTCAGAATTACTCATTGACGACTGTAGAAAAAACAACCATTTAAAAAAAATCCACATGAAAATCCGAAGTTTTCGAAAATGTATGCAATTTTTGGCTCAGAGGGCTCATTTTAGGCCTCCAAAATTCACCATATGGTTAAAATTGGTAGTTTAAGTATTCGGAGGCTTAAAATATGCGTGTTTAAGAAACTTGGGCATTTTATCCAGGAAGAAAAATTTTTTCATGGGTGGCGGTAGCCACCTTCGGACAAAGTCTAAACTCGACAACACTGGAAAGCCTCCAAACGAAAAAGGTGGCAGCCAACCATAGACACACGTAACTCCCTTATTCTGAAAATTGATTCGACTCGAACTCGACTGCAGCCCAAACGACGGCACGGATTCCATCGATCTTGGTGTCTACTGACGCACCTAAATTGGGCCTACAAAGTGGGAAAGTTTCATCAAGATCCATTGAGTTTTCAAAAAGTTATAAGCACTTAAAGGCCCAAAATGACAAATATTTTTTGTAACATGGGCCGTTCAGTAGCGGGAAACCGACATGATCACCTTTCACAACAGATTTCTTGCTTACGCGGCCACAGATTCTAATGAAACCTACAAAGGAACCCGCTTGAAGATATGAGGATTTCATTTCAACCACATTTAATAGGGTTTCAATGCTCGGATAATTCAGCATCGGCAAATAACTTTCAAAATTTTAGCTACAATGTTTTGAATTTTAGAAAAATCCGGTATAGTGGTTCAATGCCATTGGTCGATTCCGTTCAGTTAAGCCAGTCTCAGGAACGAAATTTCCCTGGTTACCAATACCAACTTCCAACTCTAACTACTTGAGAACAGATTTATGATTTAATATAATATAAGAGTTCAATTCTCTGTAGAAGCTAACGAATATTTTTACACACTTATATTATTACGTTGCACGTCTTCTGCCAGAGCCCGGTGCACTATTTCATTAGTTTCAAGTGTTCAAGTGATGTCATTGTTCAGAAGTGTCAAGTGAGGTTATCAGTCGGTGTCGGGTGTACATGTCTGACCCATATACGTAAATGGTCTGACCCAAGCATCAATGAATGTATTTCGGATTCCAAAATTCAGGTAAATTACGTTGATAAAAGGACACCAAAGTTGTGCCAAACTATCAAAAGGAAGCAGGATTTACACCACAGTTTGCATTCTCGTGACTAACAGCATCCAAATATTTCCCTACCATGCACACCGATGGATCGAAGGGAGAGCCCATTACTCTCAGTTTTTAATTACATTATTGTTTTCCTCAAGTCACAAATGCTAGTTTCCATAACTTGAAGAGATGTAGTTGTTTTCAGTGGACCCTAAAAGTCTCAAGAAAAGATCTAAAAATTACTGTAATATGAGCCTTCGCCTACTACTTGCAACACGGTCATTATGCTCTGACCAAAATTTATTCGCTTTAAATTTTGCTTTCAACCTACGTGCTCTTGAGTGCTTGTGCTTTCCCTAAGTGTATGTTATTGACATTAAGATCTTGTGTTCTTCATGACTAATCTTGGAAAGCTTCGCCTCTTACCGTTGCTTGTTTACATCATGGAGATATGCGGGGATGCAAGGTATAATTCAATCACTAAGTCAACTTTATGTCCCTAAATCAGAGATCTTTGACGATGAGTATTAGCTTAAATTTGGTTTTCTTCGAGTCTCTTTGATTTTGTGTCAGAAGTTGTTAGAAACACCATGTGGCCAGTCAATGTGTAAGAAAGTCTTTCATGAAAGGTATGTACTCTTTCTATTTTCTCAGCTTGATGATTACTATAAAATCAAGAATTTATATTGCTGCATAAATTGCTGGGCCAATCGTACCAATCGTAAGTACGTAGCGCCCATTCCTTCTCTATTTTGACACATGAAAACTTGATGCAAACACATCAAATAGATAGGTTATGTTATGGACTTACACTGGTGGTGCAGCTACCGACTGTTAGATAATAAACCCTTAAATGACATCCGGCTAACTTAGCTGTGTCCAAAGACACCACGATCGTTGGAATCGTTGGAACCGTGCCGCCGTTTGCTCTGAATTCCATTCTATATCTAATCAATTTTCAGATTAAGGGAGTTAGGTGTGACTAAGAGTGTCGGCCACCCCTTTGCTATAGGGACTTTAGTAGGTCGTCATTTTCCTCGACCGGGGGTGGCTACCGCCACTCTTGATGTGAAAATATTGTGGTGTTGTTAGTTGTTGTGTCACAGAAGTATTCCATCTTCACCTAGTGAGTTTCTAGCATAATTACTCCAGTGAAACAGTGCACTTTGAAATTAATTGAGCGTTGGGTCTATGTATGGTTCGCATGCCTACCTAGTTCTTAATGGAATAAATGTAATCGGGTGAATCAAAGCCAAAAAAGATTAGACCAATCGGTAGCGTTTATGATCAAAAAGTTTGCGCCTAGGTACCAACTGCAGAACATGCTCTGATGAAGAGTTTGGGGGTGGTGTTTTTAGTCCGACAGTGGACAACAAAATTACTAGGAATTCTTGAACTACCAGGTAACTGAGAGCATTCATTATCTTATATGAATCAAAAGACTCCATTCAAATTTAAATGCTTACTTCATGCCAGTTATACGATTCGACAAATTATGTGGTAAAGCGACTCTAAGCAAAATAAATCAAAATATTCTCCGCTAGCGTCAATATGGGTATACTGTATCAAGCTTACAGTGTAGTATTTGCAGCAAGTTTTTCTCTTTTTCAATTAATTTTCTGACTGAGGCCATTGTAACTTAAGGTTGAAATTCAGTTGATTATTACCTGAATCGCTCAAGTTCAACGGAGTGCATAATAGGTATATGCACAATTTTCTTATCTTCATGTTTCAAGTCACATTCCTAGACGTTATACTCTGTTAAAAGAAAAAATACTTTTGTGGCCGATGGAGCTTGGCTTGACGCACACTTTTATTGATAAATTAAATACCTCTTACAGGAAATACTTTTTATAATGAGTGAACAAAAAAAAAAAAAAATTTATTTTTGCTCTTTGAATGGACTTT